TCCCCCTCTGTCCTTCAGCAGCAGCTGCTGCCGTTTCCCTCCTCTTCTGCCTGGGAAACCGTTTCCCTGGGCTTGGAGCAGCCCTGGGCAGGTGGGAGCAGCCCACAGAGCTCTGTGGAATCTTGATCTAAACCACTTTTTTCCCCTCTCAGTTTGCTCGTTGTCGACGCGCAGAGCGGCAGCACATCGGCCAGCGGGGGAAGCGGGGCTGCCTGTGGACCGTGGTGCTTCCTCGCAGCCCCCTCATCCTCCACCAAAGGGTCAGGCTGGGGGAGCTCTAACGCAGAAGGGCTGCATGAGCTCCTGCTCCCTGCTGGGATCACCTTGAGCTGGTGCTGTGTTGCTGTGTTCCTCCTGACACCAGCGGTGCCGCCGCCGAGCGGTTAATGATTACCTGCACCTCCTGGAGTCCCCACTTGTGCCCTGCCCCAGCGTGCTGGGGAGCAGCACGATGCTGCTGCTGGTGCTCCTGGCGCTGCTGGGCCCTGCTGGCTGCCCCAAAACTGAGCCCCTGAGCAGCTCTGGCCAGGAGCCCCTCTTCCGTGGGGCAGATCGCTACGACTTCGCTGTCGTCGTCCCTGCTGGCACGGTGGAGTGCTTCTGGCAGTTCGCGCACCAGACCGGCAACTTCTTCTTCAGCTATGAGGCGAGTGTTGCTGGACGCAGCCTGGCGAGGTGTCGGGGATCGATGATGGGGTCGGGGCTCAGTGGTGTGCGTCGGGATCCGCAGCTGGTGCTGGCTGCCTCCTCCGAGGGTGCTTCAGGTCCTGTGGTGGGTGATTGTCCGTCACCTTGCTCCTGGGACAGGGTTTTCAACAGAATAAGACCCCGTAGGGTGAAGACCAGGTGCCAGTTGAGCTCCCGACCTGCTGCCCCCAGGGCAGAGGCAGTTTGCCTCACGCACAGAATGTCCTCGGTCAAGACAGGGAATGGCTGCAGCCACGTGGAAGCTTCACCTTGGGGACTGTGCTTTTTGGAGGGCAATTTAATTGTGTTAATACCCATTTTAAACCCACAAATCGGTGCCGAGAGCTCCGGACGGAGTACCTGAGCCCCTAGAGCTCACCTGCAGAGAGCTCTGCCGTTCCCTGGGCTGTTGCACAGCCCTCGGCTCCCCACGCCCCAGCTGGAAGGCGCACTGAAGGTCTCGGGCATGGCCCTCGCTGCTTGTCCCCACACTCCGTCCTTGCAGGGGAACTACAGTCCTTCTATCTCCTGTTTACACTTGGCTGGTTAAAGGAGAGTCAGGGCATGGCCGTGCCTGGCACTGGCGGCTTCCCTCTCGGCAGAGAAGTCCCATGGGAACACGGCGCAGCCCCGGGGCTCGGCCCACCCCCACCCCCCCCAGTGCCTGCCGGCACTGGCTGCACCCAATCTAGGCCACAAAGAGCCGAGGTGGGAGACGCGGGGTCTGTGTGGGCACCCACAGCACCATGAGCGGGCGCTGGGAACCACGAGGCTCATCATCCAGGGCTGTGGGTTGGGTTTTTTTTTTCTTTTATGCATAACTGGGAG